TGGTGTCCATAGCCCCCTGCTTCCCTGCGTGTGCCTCTGCAGCCTCAGCCCTGGCCCCTCTTGGCTCCCGAGCCTCAGGCCAGCTTGCAGGTGCTCAGCCTGGCCCCTAGGCGCTGGGCCCTCGCGCTGTGGTGGCGCTGTGACAGTGTGTGTCCTGGGAGGTTGGCAGGCTTTCCGTGTGGCTGGGCATGGAGAGGACAAGTTGTCCTGGTGGCGTGCAGAGGGGGCGGGCACAGGAGAGGACACAGCCAGCAAAAGCAAGGAGGCACAGAGTAGGTGGCAGGGGCTTTGTGGCTAGAAGACAGACAGGACCAGAGTTGGTGTTGGGAGGCCGCGCTGTGGGCATCCACTGTGTGGGACTGTGTACTCTGTTGGGGAGCAGGGATAGCCACCCACCATCCAGACACTACCCACCATCATCCGGCCACCATCCAGACACTACCCACCATCATCCAGCCACCCCCCATCCAGACACTACCCACCATCATCCGGCCACCATCCAGACACTACCCACCATCATCCAGCCACCCCCCATCCAGACACTACCCACCATCATCCGGCCACCATCCAGACACTACCCACCATCATCCAGCCACCATCCAGACACTACCCACCATCATCCGGCCACCCACCCGGCCAGCCACACACCATCCACCTACCCACTCAGATACTACCCGGCCAGCCACACACCATCCACCTACCCACTCAGATACTCGCACCTACCCACCCAGCCAGCCAGCCACCTACACAGCCCTCCGCAGGCACCCCGTCCACCCACCCACCATCCACCTACCCAGCCATTCACAGCTGCCCACCCAGTCATCCACCCACCTACACAGCCCTCCACAGGCACCCCATCCACCCACCCACCCAGACACCCACAGCTACCCACCCATCCAGTCACCCACCTACGCAGCCATCCATAGGCACCTACTGTCTACCCATCCACTCTGCAGCCACCATCGATCCGCCCACCCAGCCATCCCCAGGTACCCGCCCATCATCCAGCCGCCCACCCAGGCATCCACTGGGACCCTCCCATCATCCAGCCATCCACAGGGACCCACCCATCCACCTGCACCAACCCCCTATCCACCCTCCGAGCTATGCACATACCATCCATCCTATGTCTGTACACGCACCCTTCACCCCTGGGATGACTGACCATGGTCCCAGCACGACTCAGGGAGGTCTCCAGCCTCCCCGTGTCCCCAGTAAGAAGGCACAGTAAAAGAGGGACAAGTACACCAGCATGACATTGTCAGGTCATGCCACGTGCTGTGAAGTGGAGCCTGGGGGGCAGCAGAGGGAGGTGCCTTTTGGAGCAGGGGTCCTGGAAGCCCCCAGGAAGAGGTGCTCCTGGGCAGAGGCCTGGAAGCACAGCATCATGCATGGAATGGAGTAAAAGGGGTCTGGGGAGAAGCTAGTGTGGGCCTGAAGTGGGAGTGTGCACCTGTGCCGCGCCGCCCCTCTGCGTGCAGGGACTCAACCTTCCCTGCCTGGGGCTGGGCCAAGCGGGCCAGGGACCATCCTTTGTCCCCCGGGCAGCAAGATGAGGTGTCAGGATGCTGCCCCAGGGACCCAGACGGGTTGAGGAGGATGTGCAGCCTGGCTTTGGGCAGGTGCCGCCCTGGGAGCCGCGGCTGCCCTGTGCCTGTGGCCAGGACCCGCAAAGGCTGTCCTCGGTGCTCGGCTCGTGTGGCCTCCTCTGGCCCTTCCTCTCACAGGTGTGGAGGCGCCCCTCGACCCATCTACCACCCCAGTGCTAGCCGGATGCCGGAGATGGCACGCTCTAGTGCCTGGGAGGCCTCAGGATGGCTCTGTGTGGTGCCTTCTGGGTCCTGTCCAGGCCTGGGACCCAGCAGTTGTCACCTGAGAGGACCTGCATTCCCAGGTGCCCATGGTCCAGCTGAAACCAGGCTGTGGGGACTGAGGCTGTCCATGTAGAGTGGGTAACCTAGGGCCCAGAAGGGAGGGCAGGCCCGGAGGGCAGGGCGAGCGGCTGACCTCTGTGCCCCTCTTCCCGCCATACCCCCACCCTGGGCTGATGGCTACTCCTCACCCTGTGAGCTGCTCGAAGAAAGCCAGTGTCGCCAGCGACGTGAAGTGGTCTGCATCCTGCAGTGGCCTGAGCCAGGCACCTGTTGCTGTGGGCTGCACGCACACTCCCAGGAGAGCCCAGCACCTTTGAAGGACCTCTTGGGGGAGCATTTACAGAGGGAGACGGCTATCAGTGACCGTGGCTGAGACACAGAGGCCTCTCATTCCATAACTGAGCCACAAGCCTAGTCGAATGCAAAGAGAAGATGCCAAATTCACACTGAGCCCTGCCCCTGCTCACACTCTGAGCCCTGCCCCTGCTCACACTGAGCCCTGACCCTGCTCACACTGAGCCCTGCCCCTGCTCACACTGAGCCCTGACCCTGCTCACACTGAGCCCTGCCCCTGCTCACACTGAGCCCTGACCCTGCTCACACTGAGCCCTGACCCTGGTCACTCTCTGAGCCCTGACCCTGCTCACACTGAGCCCTGATCCTGCTCACTCTTTGAACCCTGACCCTGGTCACACTGAGCCCTGAACCTGCTCACACACTGAGCCCTGACCCTGGTCACACTGAGCCCTGACCCTGGTCACTCTCTGAGCCCTGACCCTGCTCACACTCAGCCCTGACCCTGCTCACACTCTGAGCCCTGACCCTGCTCACACTCTGGGCCCTGACCCTGGTCACTCTCTGAGCCCTGACCCTGCTCACACTCTGAGCCCTGACCCTGCTCACACTGAGCCCTGACCCTGGTCATTCTGAACTCTGACCCTGCTCACACACTGAACCTGATCGTAGTCACACATTGAACCCTGAACCTGGTGACACTCTGAGCCCTGACCCTGGCCACACTAAACCCTGACCCTGCTCACACCAAGCCCTAACTCTGGTCACACTCTGAGCTCTGATCCTGGTCACACTCTTGAGTCCTGACCCTGGTCACAAGCAAATCCCTCTCCTCTGTCTCAGCTGGAATGACAGGTGTGTGTTCACATGTGTGTGTGTGTGTCATGTGCTCGGGCCCACCTCCTCTTCTGGCCACACAAGGCAGCTGACCGTGTGCCATGCTCATCTTGGAAGGAGTGAGTCAGAGTTTCCACCCACAGTGCAGGTCTGTGCTGCTGCACCCCCCAGTTACACTCACCCAGAAGGTCGCTGTCGCTCTAAACACTGGGCTCTGAGGGCCCCAGAGTCCCCTTGTCCTGGCAACCAGAGTTACATGACCCACCCTACCTCGGGATGCCCAGTCTTAAACCCTGGCCTGACCGTGTGGCTTGAGGACCGCTGGTCCCTCACGCCCCACACTGCCTGGCAGGCAGCGAAGGCTAAGAGTGCAGGCCTGGGGCAACAAGTGGGCACATTCCCCCTGTCCAGAACAGCAGCAGCCCGTACCTGTGCAGCTCCTCCACCATGTGTGTCTCGGCCAGGGGGCAGGGCTGGCAGGCAGCATCTGAGCCTTCAGGTGAGGGTCAGTAGTGGCCTGGGAGCAGGATAGTGATGGGGTCCAGAGGCAGGAAGCCATGGTGAGTGGATTCAGCATGGCTGGTACGGGCACGTGGTAGTGGGTGTGTGAGGTGGCCAGATTTGGGGCACTGGTGTGGGCCGCCAGGCAGCAGGCAGGCAGTGGGAGGCAGCTGGGTGGCGAGGTGACCACCAGCCAACTTCCAATGCTGAGGGGTGGGCGGGAAGACCAGATGAGACGGCGGTGGGCAGAGGGAGGGTGGATGAGAGGAGAGCCAGCAGGGGATGAGCTGCAAAGGTGAGCACGTGTCAGTGTCCTGGGGCTGCCCTGACAGCCACCAGAGGGCTTGAAGTAACACAGGGCTATTCTCTGACCAAGGGGAGGTCAGAAATCTGAAATCCAGCTGTGGGTGGTGCCAGACTCCTTTCGCGGGCCCTAGGGCAGCCTCCTGTCCGGCCTCCTCCAGCTTCTGCTGGCTCCAGCAGTCCTTGGTGTTCTTGGCTTGCAGTAGCATCACTCCCCTCGCTGCCTTTCCATGGCCTTTTCCCTTGTGGCTCTCCAGGACACTAGTCACTGCATCTGTGGCCTGCCCCAAACCCAGCATGACCTCATCCCAAGGTCCTTAGCTGGATTGTTCCTGCAAAGACTCTATTTCCAAATAAGGTCACATTCACAGTGTCTGAGGGCTAGGACTTGGTCACGTATTTTCAGATCACATTACTCAACCCACTATAGACAGACAGGTGACTAAGGGGTGGGTAGGTGGGTAGGTGGGTGAGGGATGGGTGGGTGGGTGAGTGGATGGGTGGATAAATGGAGGGATGGTGAATAAATGGAGGGATTGGTGAGTAGATGGATGGGTGGGTGGATGGATGGATAAATGGAGGGATGGTGGATAAATGGAGGGATTGGTGGGTAGATGGATGGGTGGGTGGGTGGATAAATGGAGGGATGGTGGATAGATGGAAGGATGGGTGGGTGGGTGAGTAGATGGATGGATGAGTGGATGGGTGGATAAATGGAGGGATGGGTGGGTAGGTCAGTAGATGAGTAGATGGACAGATGGGTAAGTGGATGGATAGATGGATGGCTGGGTGGACAGGTGAGTGGATGTGGGTGGAGGGATGCATGGACGGATGAATATTTGGATAGGTAGATGGGTGGGTGGGTGGGTGGGTAAATGAGTGGTTGATGGGGGGAGAATCAGTTAGACAGGTGGGTGAAGGAAGCCGATGAAGTCGGGTAGCACATACTGGGAGTTAAGTTCTGTGGTCCTGAAAGGACAGCTCCCTGGGCATTTGAAACAGGCGAGGTTGCCAATGTTCTGCAGTTTTTAATTTAACTTGATTTTTAAAATTTGCCAGTAGCCTTATGTGCAGGCCAGCAAAAGATAGAGAGGGAGAGAGAAAGCACCCCCGATGGGGCGTGGTCACACTGCGGTCCTTTCTCCACGTCTCCGTTGTACTGTTTGGGGCACGCACACACATGCACCAGCGTATCTCACAAGCTGCCAGGGCTTGAGTTCAGAGTATTCTTGGCCATTTGGGATCTGGCTCCCTTAATGATTAGGCTACGGGACCATCCTTATTTTGCAGTTTTTTTTTTTTCTTGGAGAGGTTTTCGCTATAGGGCGCGTGCATTCGCCAGACAGAGAGAGACATAGAGACAGAAAGTGAGAAATCACCCCCCAGGGGGGATGGTCACGCCGCAATCCCTTCCCCTCCATTCTCCTCTCGGGATCTTGGGCACGCACGCACATGCACCCGGCGTGAGTTTTAAGCCACCAAGTCCGGGATGCGAACAGCGGTCGACTACGTGGGAGTCCAGCGACATAGCCATTACACTAACTGCTGGTTCCCCTTATTTTGCAGCTTTGAGAGTTCCTTTTGGAAACATAAGCCCAGGGTTACGTGGAGAGTGAGTGAGAGCAGGGAAGCCGTTCAGGGGCCGTCTGTCCTACCCTCATGTGAAAAGTGGCTCGACTGAAGCCCAGAGCGGAGACGTCAGGACAGACCAGCGTGCGGGCCTAGAACCCTCGTCCTGCCACTGGGGCATCTGTGGCCGTATTCTGCTAGCTGCCAGCCCCACAAGAGCTCTATGAAGGGCAGAGGGCTGTGTGCTGTGGCTCTGCACACACACAGGCTCTGAGGAGTCCTGCAGCAGGCTCTATTCAGCAAGGGGGAGTCTCCCTGACTCTTGGACTCTGTGCCCTGTCAGGCGTGGGGTGTGGAGTGCAAGGCGGACATGAGGAGAGGGACATTCTCTCAGCCCCTTTCCCAGAGGCTGAGCCTGAGCTGGGCACCTCAGCTCTGCCTCATGTCACTGGCACATGGGTCCTCGGCCACCTGTCCTTACCGACCACTGTAGAGCCGAGAGGCTGGGGCTGGGTGCTCACTGAACGTCCCTGGTCATGGTAGGGGGCCCAGCCTGGCCTGGCTCTCCCCTGCCCTGAGCAGACCCCAGCCCTGCCTTGCAGAGGGCTCAGACGAGGGGCAGCCATGTTAGGAGCACTCAGGACTCTGGCTTGGGACCTCCCTGGGGTCTCTTCTCAGACAAGCATCCTGGTCCCTTTAAGAACCTCGCTCCCTCCACCCCCTTCCTGTTTCCTTGGAGAGGGCAGTGAGGGGGCAGGCTGCTGGAGCGAGGGGGAGCGAGCAAGCGGAAGGGAGACTTGGCGGGGGCCCCAGGGTGCTGTCAGCGGCCGGTTCCCGGCCGACTTCTCCCACGCTGGCTGGCTCCTGATGGGGGCAGGGGGGGCCGGGGGGGGGGGGGGGCGGGGCCGGGTGCCTGCCAGCGGCCGGTCCCCGGCCGCCTTCTCCCACGCTGGCTGGCTCCTGATGGGGGCAGGGGAGGCCGTGGAGAGGGGTGACTGGGGCAGGCCCGACACAGAGCCCTCTTTGCTCGCCTGGGAAGCACCTCAGGACCCATGGAGCAGCGAGCCAGGGGAGAGACAAGGGGAAGAGACATGGAGCTGTGGCGGGAGTGGAGTGCAGCTCAGAGGAGCTACCAGCACCCCGGGTTGTGCCCCTACACAGTGCCCGCCCCTCTCTGCCTCACTCCTGCTGAGCCTGCCCTGTGGACTGCCAGGGCTCTTGTTGAGACGACCTCGCTGCAGGGCTCCTTGCAGGCTTGAGACTGAAGGGCATGGCAGGGTGGAGGGTCTGGGCTGGCCGGGCTGGGAATGGATGCCCTCTGGCCTGGCCGGGGCTGCTCTGGAACTCAGGCCCCTTCGTCTCTTGCCCCGGGGCCTCTTCCACCTGCTCCAGGCCTCTTAGCCTGTCCCTCACACCCCAGCTGAGACCATGTCTGTGTGTCACGTTTTGTACATGTGGCACCCAGCAGGCCAGAAGCCCTGAGGGCAGGGCCTGGGCTCAGCCACACCTAGCTAGCCCTCAGAGAGCTGGCGTGGCCCCATCACTCACCCTTGGTGGGCTGGGCGCCCAACCACTCACTCGCCCACAAACACACTGTCACTCCCTGGCATGTCTGACCACAGTGACTAGGTCTTGCCTTTGAGGTGCCCCCCTACACCCCCATAGGGCAACCTTCAGGGCTGCCTGGCCTGACGAGCTCACTCCCGCCTGCTCCGGGCTGTGGCGTGGGGCCTGCCTGGGCCGTGGAGCTATAGCCAGAGCAGGCGGCGCAGGATGGCTCCCCACACTCCTCCAGCCTGGGAGCCCTTGGCTCTGCCCACACTACTGTGCGAGCCCTGGCCACCACGTTCTCAGTCATGACAGGCAGGTTGAGTATCCCTCCAGGGCCACTGCCATGAGCCGGAGAAAGGGTCAGCCCTCCTTGGCGGGGGCGGGGGGCTACTGTCCTGCCCAGCGCCTGGCCGGCCAGGCCCCTGGCAGGCGGCTGCAGGAGACACCAGGCTGCCAGCAACAGCCAGGGCTCCTGCAAGTCCCCACCCACCATACTGCCATTCCCTCCCCTGCCAGCCCCTCCCCTGCTCTCTCTTTTTCCTAGAAGAAAGTTGTGTCCTGAAATGCTGGCCCGTGGCAGCCTCGGCCAGGCGGGCCCACGCTGTCTCTGCTCCCTCACCGTCACTCTGGCTTGGTGGCTGCTCTCCAGCCCTGCCTTATGCCACAGGCTGCAGGCCTTTGCCCACACTGTCCCCACAGCATCGTCCCCTCTGTCCCCCGTTCAGCACCAAGGGGGTGCCAGTCGGACACCCCATGGGTTTGGAGTGCCTGCCTCAGGTGCTTGCCGGGCACGTGCACAGAGGTTTCCGTTTAAGCTGCAGCTCTCAGATGGCCCCGGGGTTGGTCCCTGCTGGCGGTTGGGAGAGGGGAGTGACTGACTCAGGACGCAGGAAGGTAGACTTTGGGCAGACACAGGAAGGACTCTAAAGACAGGGTGGGTGGAGTGACTGTGCCTGTCCATTGCCCTTTCTCATCCACGTGCAGAAGTGCCTGGAAGCAGGGGTGGTGGGATGCACCCCACACCGCCTGGCCACCTGGGCCTCTGGGGTGAGGAAGATGGGGAGGTGCTGGCGGGTGGGGCAGGCGCGGCGGCAGAGATGGTGTGGCACTGGGTCCGCACCGTCGGGTGCCGAGAGCGGTGGTGAGCTCCTGCAAGCCGAACCCCCCTTACCTGTGCCCTGAGCATGGCAGAGCCCCTGTGCACTTGCAGCTGGACACCGGCAGCTGGGGCCAGGCTGCTGTTGATGGTCGGCGCCGGTTCTGAAGAGGTGGCGAGGTGCGGTAATGTTATAGTGGGGGCGACCCTGGCGTCCAGGGGCTCTCAGGGTGATGGTGGTCACCGAGGGATGGTGGCAGTGATGAGCGTGCTGTCAGTGCTGCTGGGGCAGTGAGTGACAGCCCTGGCGCTGGTGGTATTGGGATAGCGCCGGGAGTAGTGACCTGCCGGTGACGGCGGTTTGGTTGATGCCATTGGTGCAGCGGCGGGGTTGCTGCTGCTGCCGGGTAAGGGCGGCGGGCG